TTGTCTCTACCTCCCACCTGGAGACAGGAGCTTGGGTATAGGTATGTGGTGCCAAGCCCAGCATTTTGTGGGTCCTAGGCATCAGAACTCAGGTCCCCTTGCTTAGGCAGCAAGTGCTTTAAACATTGAGCCATCTCACCAGCCCTAGGACATCTTGTTTGACACTTTGAAGGAAGTGATAAATACATGAGACCCTCAAGAAGGGTCACAGACAGCAGCAGGAGCAGTGGCAGCAATGGTAGTAATCCAATCTTCCCTCTTCCTTCTTCCTGCCCTTAGCAATTCATAAAAACCATCTCGTCATGTGAAGTTCCATGTTGTGTCCAGTAAATGGGTTGTCGCAAGCCTATGACTCAAACTGTAACTTTTGCAACTTCCAAATAATCTTTCTTAGAAATCACACCTCTTTGGGTTTTTATTTTTGTTTGTCTTAAATCATCTTACCCCAAGCTTACTTTCCCCCCATTTCTGCAATAATGATTTCAAGGAAAAAAGTTTTGCTTGTGCTTAACTATCTTACGTTTTCATCAAGTATTATTTTAGCATAAATATTAGAAGAATAAGGAGTGCTGGCAGATATTATAGCATTATTGCATTTTGGCAAGAGTGTGTTGAGACATTGTCTCACATAGGACCAGGTAGGTAGATAAGAATCTCTTCAAACTTCTGGTCTTCCTACCTCCATGAGGCACCTACATGCTGGGGTTACAGGTGAGCACCACCATGCCTTTGTGAGGTGCTGAACTCAACCCAGGACCTCCTGTATGTTAGGTAATCACTCTACCAACTGGGCTATATTCAGGGGACAATAGTCTTAAGCAGTGGTTCTCAACCTTCCTAATGCCACAACCCTTGAATATAGATTCTCAGGTTATGGTGACTACCTCAACCATAAGATTATCTTCATTGCCACTTTATAACTGTAATTTTGATACCTTTATGAATCATAATGTAAATATTTGTGTTTTCTGAGAGTCTTAGGCAACCCCTGTGAAAGTGTCTTTCCAACCCCTATAGGGGTCATGACCCACAGGTTGAGAGCCACTGGTCTTGATGGAATGTCTCAATATAATGTGATATGTAAGGACTGCAGCATTTGGAAGTATTTGAAAAGGGTGATGGAGCTCAGTGAGAGGTGGTGGGTACTCAAAGCAGGCAGAGTTTTAGTTCAGAATTAAGAGCAGGTGGAGTTTGGAGAAGCAAGTGAGGAGAAAGGCACATTGTGAGCAGGCACATAGAGGTTGGAGTGGCAGCTATCAGTTCCAAGGGGTCAAAGTGGCTGGTGTGCAACGCTGTACATCTGTTTTGGGGAGAAGGAGGGCTGGGCTGCATGGCACAAGGCAATGGAGAGCCTGGTGTGCAGCAATGCTTCTTGGGCAGAGAGACTTTTGCAAACAACTGTAGTCATGGTATCTAGCTCCACTACTAGATGGCTAGAGGGTGGTGGGGACTCTGGCCAGAAGGTTCAGGAAAGTGTAAGAACATTGTTATGAATGTTCAAGGAGGGAGGAAAGGAGGCGAGCTAGCTCCAGACTGTTTGACTGAGTGATTCGTAGTAGAGGGGCATACCGCACATTCCAATCAACCACCAGTCTGCCCTTTGAATGTTTCCTGTCTTTTCTATTGAAACTTTCTCTTGCCCTCAAAGGCTTAAAAACCTGTGAATTAAACCAGGACTTATTCTGTTATTGTCACAGTCCTACCCAGAGCAATAGCATGCACACAACATATAATGACCAGCCTTTGGAAAGTCAATGAAAACGAGCAAAACCACTTGAAGCTTTGCAACTTCCCCCTCATCCAAATATGATTCTATGATTACCAGCAACTCAAAAACTATTTCTATGACCTGTCCTAAGTGTACCTTCCCCCTGTTTGTTATTGCCAGGAAGTGAGTTCATGGTTAAGTTCATGGGCTCAATTATTTGAATTCACTAGCTCTTAGCTTTCCTTTTGAGTTTACATTGATAACAGTTCCTGCATTTGCATATATGATCGCCCTTTGCTGTTTAAAGAGTGCTTTCATTAGTGTTATCTCATTTGAACCTTTATTGAAAACTCCCATGGAGCAAGCCTGAGGAATGATTGTTGTCATTTAGTGGAGGGGCAAGCTCAGATTGAGAAGCAAATGTGTTCATTTACACAACCATGAAAGGTGCTTTCACACCCAGAGAAAAAGCAACAATCAGATAATTTTACATGAATACATTAGAAATGAATATATTACATACAAAGACCAACACATTTAACATGTGTATGTTTTCTTTCTCTCTCTCTGTGTGTATGTAGTGTTGGAAGAAAATAAAAATACCTACAATAGATTCCTTCTATATGCTATAAAATTCAGAATTACCAAAATGGGACATACTGCCAGGGACATGGTATAGAATTAAGAACATAGACCCTGGGGCTGCACTCTGCTTGCCTTTTAAACCCAACCAGCACCATGCAGAAGCCAGTTGTAGACATTCTGCTCTGCACTCCAGTTAAAGCCTCAGTGAGCAGCCACTGCCACTCACAAGGCAGACATACAAATGCAAGAACCTCCTGATAATTTCAGTGGAGTAGAAATGAAATGTCCTACCAAACCTTCCTGAATCTAGGATTCATCCACAACACAAATATAATCTTAAGTTTGAGTAGTTCTGCGGAGGTGGAACTCAATGCTCACATGGTCTTCTGACCTTCCAGTCTATTAACAGGAACTGAGTTCAGCAGGAGATGTTAGCTGGAGGAAGGCAGTTGAGGAGGATAAGCTGATGAGAGAATGCCTGGTGAAGACTGTTCAGAATATAAGGAAAAGATGAAAGAGATTTTGGGGTCACAGGGATGAGGGTCACAGAAACCCCTAATAGTTCAATTTCCCTTCTGCCCTTCTCCCTCAGCCTACAGTGTGATTTACAATGCCCCTTCCTGCTGCTGCCCCCAAGACAATTTCAACATCTAGGACAGAAGTAGACAATACTTAACCAGAGTGAAATCAAACAGGTCAGAGGCCTCTCTGGACACACTCAAGCCACTTCAAGCTTTCCTGTTCCTGCTGGACCTACACTAGAGGTTGTGCAGTGGAATCATGACCAGGGGAAGATGCTTGTTTGGAGGGTTGCAGCCCCTTCTGCCCCGGCTGTCTAGAGTAGCTCATCTCAGATGATAGTAATATCTAACCCTACTTTCTGAAGGCGGTACTGATGCTATTCACTTAGTTCAGAAGTTATACTCAGCATTTGATTGGCTTCAGATTACAAAGACAAAATGAAGGCACAAATGTGAGTTTAGTTTGGACAGTCGAGATGATAGGGACCCTAGGGGAAAAATCATAGTTAGTCCTTAGGCTATGGGATGGAGCCAGGGTGCTCTCAAAAGGGAAAAGGACACACTGCTATTGCAGCTTGATTTACCATTTAATATAGAATATTGTGCGGCTGTAGCTCGCATATGGGTGTGGGTCCTGTTGGGCTGAGTTATGAATCCTGAGTGTCTACCATCCCAGGCAGCTGAAACTGTGGCTCAGAGGGCAGAAGCATGGGAATTTGACTGAGTTCACTCCAAGTGGCGGATGTTGGGCTGTGAGAAGTTGCAGAACTCTGCTCTGGGTGTGGGGAGATCTCAATCTGAGGTTCCTTGGGGACAGAACTCTTGGATCGGGATTTTCCAGGCCGAAGCAGCTGGCAGGAGGCTGGTGGTCTCAGCCCTTGGGCACAAAAGCACTGCTGGGAGATGGCAGAAGGACTGAGACAGGGGTGGGGGTGGGATACAGGCTGGACTGGCCCATATCTGAGATGGACAAGAGGGAGAGAAGCTCTGGTGGTGGCCCATGATGGCTTGGCTAGCTTGCTTGAGTTGGCGGGCATCCATGGCTGGAACATAGAGAGGTCCTCTGGAGAGAGATTAGGCAGCGGCTCATTGGTTGAAGGCCCCCTCTAAAGTTCTCCATGGCAGGCCCCAAATATGAGAGGAAGTCCATGATCTTAAAATGTTTATTATCATGACAGAAAGTGGATGAAGCTGTACCCCATGTCCTCAAGGCAGGCCTGAGGTTAAATATTCTTTGCAAGGAGGAGGGTCTGGGAAGCTTAATTGGCTACACCCTCTGGCCTTTAGGTATCTCATTAATATGGAGATCTCTTGAGACTCTGTGGCCTGTAGTCACACCTTCTACCTGTGCTACCTGTGCTGTGTGACCTAAGGCCACAAATCTTTCTTTGGGAGGGGCTGTGGATAAGTGAAAGGAACCAGGGCACAGGAGCAAGGCCAAACACCTACTGTCCCATTAGGGTATTATCTGGGGTTCGAGGCCTGTGCTTGACCAGGTACCCAGCTGCCTCTCACAGCCCACCGCCGCACAGAATATGGCACCAAGGCCATATTCAAGTCAAAGTCTTATTTGTGATATGCATATCAAGGGTTTCCCTCTAGGAGCCAGGCTTTTCTGCTTCTCTTAAGTCCAGTAATTTGAAAATAAGATGGGTGGATATATCCTTGAACTGGGGACAATGGGACCAAAAGACCACAAGTTTATCATCTGTCTTCTGCCTTTGGAGGGGGTAAGCCGAAATCATCCTGTATATATTGAATGTCTCATATATAAATTATATTCCTCCAAGGGGCCTCCTAAGACAACTTCACAGAAGTTTGATTGAACCAGTTCATCACTATCAAGAAGATTATTTGTATACAATTTTTACACTCCCAAATTTGGAATCTTCTTTTTTCATCCCTTTGAGGAGTCTAGACCATGGTGTGAACTTACCTGATATATAAGCTATAGGCAAAATGTTTATATTGTAAACACCTAGTAAGATTCATTCATGTGTAACCTGGATGTAGCCTTGGAGACAGCCAGAGCATTATAATTTGAATTGTTTGGAATCTAAGAATGTTTAACTCATGACTTTAAAGATCCATACACAACTCTGTGTTACCATGAATGCATATTGCATTAGGCGGTGCCCATGCCCACTTCCTTAATGAGTTGTTTTGTCCTTTCCTTGTAGGTCCTTGGATGTGGCTCTATTGCCCAAGCGGTCCTTAGTCGAGGACATTTTGGTGGAATCATCACTATCAATATTGGATTTGCAACGGCAGTTGTGATGGCTCTCTATGTGACTTTTGGTGTCTCTGGTATGCAGTAGAACTCCTTATCACAACTATTAACAACGTCCCAGTGTGCTAGCAGGCTTGGCCACTTTACATGCTTTATTTATATTATTGTCTCAACAATCCTGCATGGATATGTGTTCATCTCCTTTTTATAGACGGTAAAGTTTAAATACCAACAAATGGTCAGTGGCTTCTGCTAAGTGGGGCTGGCACTCACACCTGAGTCATCCCTGACAGCTGCAGTGTATTGTCCAGTAATCAGTATTTTCTATTTTGTAAATCTCATGCTTGGAAGCCATTTCCAAGCTTGTGAATAGCTGAGCAAAGGTCACACCAGCAGAGACAAGTCCTTGGACCTTTATCAGCTACAATCAGAGAAGCTAGGTCTTGTGCAAGGTCAGCTCGTTTTCATGACAGTGTGTATCTGAGCTAGAAAACGTTAACCTCATCCTTCCCTTATAGCCAGGTTGATAATAGCCACCTGCACGGTTTTGCACAGCAAAATGTTGGGATCCTATTGAATTTAGTCTGGAAACTTAGAAAGAGACCAGGAACAGTACCAGATGGATAATAAGCACTAAAGCAAAACTGGTCAGAAGAGGGCATTGAGACCCCTTGACATGTTAGGCACTGTGCTGGGCCTGGGACATCCTTAGTCATCTCTCTCCATTATAACAACATTATGTTGGAATGTGTTGTCTTCATATCCTACAGAGAGAGGTGGGCTGAGAGAGGGTCCTTAAGTTGCTATAAGTCCTGCATTTGAAAAAGAGACAGAGCAAAGTTGAGCCTCAATGGTCTATTAGGGGCAAAATAACTCTGAAAAAAAGGATCCTTAAAGTGAGTTGGCTGTCTCGTGATAAATATGCCACTGGGATGCTAAAGAGTGATGCCGGACACTCGTAGCCTTGTGGAGTGAGACTGCAAATGCTCCTTTGCTGGATGACGGCATTTCCATGTCTATAGGAAGAAAGCCAGAGTTCTATGTGTGTGACGTGTTTGGTATGAGAAGTGTCTCCAGTCAAGCTGTCAAGCGTTTGCTGTGACTCCAGCATCATACCACTCACCATAAGGAAAGCATAAGATTTACTGGACATTTTCCCTGTTCATGCCAAAGCTAGGTTACTGTGGGGGACCATGACACCAGGTATGAAATACTCTCTTGAAACAAGTGGTCAAGATGTTCCATTTCTATCCCCTACACCTTCCAGCACATTTGGATAAATATAGTCTTGACACATCTATTATGAATATAGGAACATTTTCAGTCAATTTTTTAAGGATGGAGACAGGGTTTAGAGCATTGGTTCTCAGCCTTCTTAATGCTACAATCCTTTAATACAGTTTCTCATATTGTGATGAACCCCAATCATAAAATTATTTCATTGCTACTTTGTTTCGGGAAGTATTGAAACTGACCAGCAGTTCCTGTGCTACTGCTGGCACCAGCAGGCCACATGGCACCAGAGCTCCAAAATCTCTCCACCTAGCTTGCTAATTCCTCACTGACGGGTCTCTACCATGCCAGTCCCATGCTTCAAAACCCCCACAGCCTTTGTGGTGCACATCTGGCAAACCTACCGTACCTTTCTCTCTGGAACCCAGTAGAACCGCAGCAGGAAGAAAATACCACACAAACTTAGTTCAAAAACAATGGTGACTCAATCTCTGGACACAACAACTAGAATCTTAATCGTGTATCTACATTAAATCTAAATCCTCCAGTGGTGAATCCTGGTGGATCCGCCATAGAAATCAGGAGACACAAGTAGCTACATCTTGTCCTCACACTGTTTCTGTCCAAAGAGAGCCTATCTCTCTCCTCCTCCTTCTCTTCCCCTATCCAACCTGGAAGTCCCTCATACTCACCAGTGATTAACTCCTTTATTCATTAGGGGATGGTTCACAAGAAGTCACCTGAGTACGTGACTCATTCCTTGTCCGCAGCCCCGCCCAGGAAAGCGAAATTAACATCAAAATACAAACAATGCCAGGTCCATCCACAACTTTACTTTATAACTGTAATTTGCTACTGTTATGAATCATTACATAAAGATCTGATATGTAGGATACCTGATATATAACCCCTGTGAAAAGGTCTTTCAACTCCAAGAGGGGTCGCAACTCACTGGTTTGGAGGATTTTGCCTACATGATACCCTGAGCTGAACAATGACACGTTGCCATGTGGGACTTGGATTCTGTCAGTGTAGTTGACCCCTGTCACTGCCACTGTAGCTCATGGATCTTTGCATTTGTTGTTATATTTGGGGACTTTGGGAGTCATTGTAAGGGAAAGAGTTGGAAGAACCAGCAGGAAGGAAAAGAGGCAATAGGAAGATGGCAAACAGCTGTCCTGCCTGGCCTGTGTACTGGGGCTAAGTCCTTGGGAGTGAGAATCAGAGAGGCTTTGGGTCTGACCAAGCTGTTTATGAGTGACTAAGAGAGTCCCAAAACACAAGGAAAATGGTGGGTGAGCCCAGCTCAGGATAAGGTAGTGTGGAGTTGGAGTGGAGGCACCTATCACACCTCTGTTTGGAACTAGCATAATTCATGCTCTGAGGACCCATGAGGGTCAGTGCATGCACTCTCCATGACAGCTATGCAGTCCACAGCATCAGTCTTGGCATCAGTCGACTTGAGAACCAGAGAAGACCATTGTGTGGGAGGTGTCTATCAAGGTGGCTGTACCTAACAGGCTTTGTAGCCATGTGGGAAACCCTTCATGAAGACTCAAAAACAACCAGTGCATGCTGTACATGATTATAAATGTGATTCCATTTTGTGGCCACAGGCTGATAGAGTCAGTGGCCTTTCACTTTTAAGTATAAAGATTCAATTTGCTACAAAGGAGGTTTAGCATTCTGCTCCATTGTGAATGTGCCAACCAATCAGAGTTTACCATACCTGATTATGTAGCATGCCACTCAAAGTATGTAGACTGCATGGTGGTAACTATGTTTTTGAAGTCTGTGTGTGTGTGTATGTGTGTGTGTGTGTGTGTGTGTGGTGTGTGTATACGTGTGCACATATGTCATGGAATGCAGGTGGAGGCCAAAAGTTATCTCCTTTTACCATATGAGTCTCAGGGACTTGAACTTGGGTTGGTAGGGTCAATGGCAAGTGCCTTTACCTTACCCTCTTAGGCATCTCAGTGGATCATGTTAGTAACTACTTTTGATGTTGCATTTTGTAAATGAATTAATTGAAAAGGTAGAATACCCTTGCTTGAAGACAGGATAAATGTAAGATATCTATCTCAGAATTGTGCAAGGATGGTGAGAAGGGGTTTGCCTAGAATGGAATCTTAAGAATTCACTTAGCTCACCTAAGATCTACATCGTGAGCCTGTTGGACTCCAGTTGCTCTTCTTGGGGCCAGGTCTTTATGTGGATGATACGATCATCAAAGCGACCTTGGTAGAGCCAGTGTTTGAGGGCAGGACTCTCTGACCCTGGTGCTCATGTTCTTTCCACTACACTGAGCTGGCCTTGGCCTTGCAGTAAGCCACTCAGTTCTGGAGGGAGGAAGCTCTACAGCCCGTCTGGACCCTAGCCATTGCTCCTTCTCCATTTCTGATCCCTCTGTTGTCCCCTATCCCCTTCTTCTCACTAGTTTTCAAAGCTTCCTCCTAGATCTACCCACTCTGACTCTCAAGCAACTGTAGGCTCCCTAAGCTTCTGTCATCTGAGTTATCTAAACAAAGCCCCTTGATGATTTCAATCTAAGATGCCTACCAAGTGGCTGACATCGAATGAGACCTGAGGCTAATTAGGCTTTCAGGGTGCTTGCCAGAGATTGTAAAGTGTAAACCTACCTGTAGGAAACTCTATCTTAGAAGAGAGCTTGTTCTAGAAGCCTCACTCGGCAAGGCACTCCTGAGGGGTGGTTTTGATCAGAGGTGACTTTTTAAGTATCGCTTGTCCTTCCACAGTGAGTGCCTCCAAGCTGTCTGTCTTAGATCATTGGTTCTGCCCCTTTAGAGAGGGTCAGCCATGCCCTTTGTCCTATCTGGTACCTTCACTCATCTGCTATGCTCAGAGATTCAGCTCCTCTAAGCTCAGAGACTCCTCTAGGCTCAGACCCTCCTCCCCTCTGAAGTCCCCTAGAAATGGAAGGCATTTCATTTGTTCTGTAGGCTGTTATTGGGTCCCCTGTCCTATCTTTCTTCACCTGCTCTGTGTTAACTAAAGGACTCTCCATGCAGCCACAGGAAGAAAAGAAACAGATGCAGCCTGGTTCTAGGATTTTCCCATCAGCCCCTGTGTTTGTCCAAGTTCATATTTCCAACCTTTCTACTAAGCTCACTTCTGGAGCCAATAAAAGCAAGACCCCACAGATGAGAGATGATCCAGACTTGTAAGGATCCAGGGAGACATTCGTGCTTTGATATTTTGGAATTTTCTTGCTCATATTTGGAGTTGAATGGCTACTTTTGTGGCTTAGCAACCAAAACCCATTGTCAACCTCAGGGTGGAGACTCGGCAAAAGTATGGCTCTCTCTATAGGCGCTGGACTTCTTGAGCCATGCGCGACCATTGAGCTTGCTTGGTTCTGGTGAGGGCCAAGGTTCAGGATTATTCCTCATAATCACCGTTGCCCTCAGGAGCTGGCATCTCTCTTGTTGACATCTAACCTGAGCATCCACATTTCAGTGTGCTCACTTTGAGAATGAGTGTGACCCCCTTCCATATGAAATGCCATCCATGCTCTTCAGGCTCACCCTATGCATCCCTATCCATTTGCTATGAGGCAGTGTTAGCATCCTGCTCCATTGTAGAAGTGCCAACCAACCAATCAGAGCTCATCACACCTAATTATGTCACATACTACTCAAAGTATGTAGGTAGTAACCATTTTTTAAGTTGTGTGTGTACATGTGTGTGCACACATGTGTGCAAGCTCTGATCCGTATAAGTGTACATACACTTAATTTTCAAGGCAGATACATCTTGCTTTTATATTTATCTTTAAGTGTGACTATGGGGAGAAGGGGAGGATGTGGGTGTGAGTCCACAACAAGGCACTGAATACATTGGTGCTGGAGTTACAGATGTTTTGAGTTATCTACCGAGTTTGGTTACTGGCAACCAACCTTGAATTCTGTGCAATATGAGTTCCCAACAACTGAGGTATCACTCCAGCCCCAAGGCAGAGAAATCTTTATAAATGTGCTGAAGGAAGTCTAGAAGTGAATTAATGGAACTTGGCTTTTTTTTTTTTTTTTTTTTTTGGTTTTTCGAGACAGGGTTTCTCTGTGTAGCCCTGACTGTCCTGGAACTCACTCTGTAGACCAGGCTGGCCTCGAACTCCCGAACTCAGAAATCCGCCTGCCTCTGCCTCCCAAGTGCTGGGATTACAGGCGTGCACCACCACCGCCCGGCGGAACTTGGCTTTTAAATTCAGACAAAGTTGGACTTGAATTTTGGTTCTATCATTCACTGACTAGAGAAAGCTCCTGTTCCTCAGTTTGCTCACCAGTTAATGAGAACAGAGTCCATCCATTAGGTTCTTAAGCCTAAATAATACCACAGCGACAGTATCTGGCAAGTCACTCAGTAAATATTGCAGCTGAGTCCAAAGTCACATGGGAACATCTGTGACATTGCACAGAGCAAACCTTTCTCTGGCCTTATGGGTAGCTGGGAATCAGGAAATTGATTTCACTACCTATGGCTTCGGTTGTGTTGAAGGAGCTGTTGCTGCTTTTCTGTATGAGAAAACACATTGTTTATGCAGAGGGACTGAGAAGGAGCCATTCTGACATGGCAGTCACCTCTGAAAAAGCCCTTCTGCCTCTGGGACAGGCACAGGGAGTCCACCAGGACAGCATGCCTTCCTAGTGCCTCTGGGCATGTGCTAGAAACTTTGTTAGATATGTATTTAAACCTCAACTGCTTTACCATATATTCACAGTAATAGTTTGCAACAATCTACTTGTAGTGTTCTTTAACTAATGGCTAAAACTCTATTTTAGAAAAACAAGGAGCAGCATACTCATACCAGGTGTTTAAATGTCAGAGTTCCTTTTCATACAGATAAATATTCTGAATGGTGTTTAATGGTGCCACAGATTATTAGTTCTTCCTTGCCCAACATACACCTGTCTCTCTGTTTCCCTCTCTGCACCCCACTTTCTGTCCTCCGGGCTTAACTGTCTCCTCTGTCTTGCAGGGGGCCACATCAACCCAGCTGTGTCTTTTGCAATGTGTGCCTTTGGAAGGATGGAGTGGTTCAAGTTCCCCTTTTATGTGGGGGCCCAGTTTTTGGGAGCCTTTGCTGGGGCTGCAACTGTCTTTGGCATTTACTACGGTGAGTACTGAACCTGAGTTCAAAGATTTGGAGGGCTAGTGTGGCATCCGGTGAAAGCCTGAGTTCTTGGTAGGAAGCAGTGAGACAGAGCAGGAGCAGGAAGCACTGTGACAATGAGGCTGAGTTACCGACTGGGGTCAGTTTATGAAGCCTTCTAATAACATCCTTGAATCCGGTTTTTTCAATCTAAAGATGTTCATGTATGTTGGTTTTGTTTGTTTGTTTGTTTGTTTAACTTGTGGATATGTCTGTGCACCACTTGTGAGTCTGCTGCTCACCGAGGCCAGAAGAAAGCCTCAGCTTCCCTGGAGCTGGAGTTATAGACCATGTGACATAGATAGAGTGAGGGCATGGGACACAAACTCAGATCCTCTCTGGAAGAACAGCTACAGTTCTTAACTGCTGAGCCACCTCTCTAGACACCAAAATATGAATCTTCAGGAGGGATGGCTTAACTCTTTAAGAGCCTAATTTCAGGCCCACCCTGCACTACAATATGAACATAGGCGATGTGCCAGTCGTCTTTCTCCAGCTTTCTCTGACTTGATGAGAAAAGTTCTGCCCAGGTGTGAAAGCTGTGGCCCTGTAAATAGAGTAGGAATTGGGGGACATTCCTTTGAAGAAGACAGAAGAGACAGGCTGAGTGGGGGGCCTCTGCCCCTTCTAGCAAACAGCCAGGGTGTCTGCTCAGGAGGCCTCAGGAAAATGTGCTCCCGGCAGTCACAGACCCAGGACTAAGCTATGGCCATGACAGTTACTAGCTCTGTGACTTAAATAAATCCTTTTGGAATGAGGCAAGGTGGCACATGCCTATAATCCTAGCATAGGTGGCTGAGGAAGGCTGGATGGTCAGGAGTTCAAGGTCATTCTCAGCTATAAAGCAAATTCCAGCCCAGCCTTAGTGACTTGAAACCTTGTCTCATAATAAATTATGAGTAAGTAAATAAATAAGGCATCAGACCATGTAGGTCTCAGTTTCCTTCTCTGGAAAATGAGGGACTCCCGAAGTCCTTAAGGCTAAGAAATCTCAGTATTCTGCAGCACCAACTATTAAAATAGTTTTTTGCATACAGCCCAAGATGAGCCTTGGAGCCTTCTGAGTGGCAAACTGAAGACACTGAGACTCCAAACCCTAGGGAAACAAATTGTTCAAAGGGGCTTCTCTCCACAGTGTCGTTGAGAATTAAATGTCTAAGGGAGATTCGATATTGGACCAGAAACTCAGGGAACCAGCAGCTCAAGGAAGAGAAGCCTAGGTGGGTGCAGCCTGCATCAGTGGCTGCTGGTTCCCGGGCTCTGGGGGCTCTACAGCCCATCCGTAGTATCTTCACTATCTGGGCACATTGTCAAAGTCTGATGTAAGCTTTTAGGAGCAGTGAAGAGCACCCTAGGAGCTGTGACTTCCACTTAGCACAACTAAAGTCACACTTTGGTTTTAGATCAGTTTGAAAATTCTAAGAATCCCCCACACCCGCCCACCCAAAGGTGATTGGTTTCCAGGATCCTATAAGGATTCTGCCCAAGTTTAGATAAAGCACAAGCTTTCTGCTTCTGATTCATCATCCTGGGGTTCTTCTAGGGGGTCTCTCAGACTATCTCACCATAAGTACTGCTTGGTTTCTATTGATATGCTAAAGATCAAGCATGAGTCTCTGCCCTCCTTTGATTTCTGTTGCTGTGATAGAGGAGAGTGTTCCTTATAGAGGAGAGTGTTCCTTTCAGCTTGCAGGCCACGGTCCCTCACCTAGGGAAGTCAAAGCAGGAACTCAAAGCAAGAACTTGAAACATGGAGGAAGCATGGCTTGTTGGCTTACTCGCAGGCTCATTTATAGAAAGCTTTCTTGTATACCCTAGAATGAACTCTTTGAGGAATGGTGCCCACCCCCCATTGGGATGAACCCTCCTTGATCAATTAATAAGCAAGACAATCTCTCATAGACATGTCCACAGGCCAGTCTATTCTGGTGGTCTTCAATTGAGAGTCCCTTCTCAGGTTACCCCAGGCAATACCATATTGGCAGTTAAAGCTGACTAGGACACCCTCCTTCAGCCCTTTCCAGAAAACACTAATGTCCTTGAGCTCTGTCCTCTGTAGATGGACTCATGGCCTTTGCTGGTGGAAAACTGCTCGTCATGGGAGAAAATGCAACAGCGTTCATTTTTGCAACATACCCAGCTCCATTCATATCCATGCCATGCGCCTTTGTAGACCAAGTAAGTGAAGAACCTGATTTTGGTGGAAAGACATGATTGAAAGTGTGGATGGGGATCGGGCATGGGCAAGGATTAGCTGTGTACTGGAGCATTGTATGCCTGTCAAAAGAAAAGGGTTGCACTTCCCAGTTTGTGCTTCTATGAACTGAGCTTTCTTGGCAGTGATTGGACCTGAAGATGCTGATGCCACTAGAAGGGTTCTCAGCTTCCTTTTTAACACACATAGTTGCTTCATATTAGTTACGGTCCAGAAAAAGAGTGTCTGCCTGGACTAGAGGCAAATGAAGTCCACTTTGCTTCTGGTGTCTCTTGTGCTCATGGTCTAAGGGTGATAACTACAAGAGACGGCATCTGTATCTATATCCAAGGGCTGTGAAATACGGTGGTGAACCTGGGGGTTCAAGAATCTACTCTATCTCTCCATAAGCCCTAGCTTCACCTCACTTTCAAGGGGGTTAAGTGTCTTGACTAGATTGATATTTGAAGTAGTGCCTGCTGGTTGTGGTGGCCACAAACTTGTAATCCCAGCCTCTGGGAAGCAGAGCCAGGAACATCACCACAAGTTTTGGGCCAGCCTGGTCTATATAGAAAATTCCAGGTCACCCAGGGCTGTCACAAAGAGCTGTAACTGTACTGATTGGTTTATGAAAAGATCCACATACCCTCACCATTTTGTTTTCTACTTTGATCACAAAGTCAATCAGGACACAAACATTTATTGATCTTTCCATGGTACTCAGCCCCATGTCTGGAGCTTGAAGAATTTATTACTGCATGTGAACTACAAAATTCCAAGATCCAGAGTCCAAGTACTTGAACTAAAATAATATTCCTGTCCCTGACTCTCTGATTGGCTTAAGCAAATTGCTGAACTTTTTTTTTAAAGTTTCTAACTTTGGGGCTGGAGAGATGGCACAATGGATAAGAGCTACTGGCTGCTCTCACAGAACACCTGCATGATGGCCCGTAACCATCTGTAATTCCAGTTTCAGGTGATCTCGTGCCCTCTTCTGGACTGTACAGGTGCTACATGCATGTGGCACACCCAAGTAGGCACTCATACAGACAAAATAAATATATTATTTGCTCATTTCACTTGGATAAATACCACATGGATAAATATCAGCCTTTGTATCAGCTTCATTGTAAGAGTTAAAAATAATACGAGAAATATATGCTGTAAACAGTGTGTGCGAAGAAATGTAGAATGTAGTTAAACAGTGTCCACGGAACAAAGTGACAGCCAGATGTGGTACAACACGCCCATAAACCCAGCCCCCTCCTAAGAAACTTTTTAAAAGAGCAATGTAAACAATTAATAGTAAAACCAGGCTATAGCATCACATCAGTAACATGCAGGGAACCTACATGTCCTAGCACTATAGGAAGATCTTTAGTGGGAAAGACAGAGGGATGAAGCTGCCTGAAGAATGACTGTCGTCGCCATGTGCAATAATGTACACATGGTAGGCAACGACGTCATTGAGTTTTAGATTCCTTTCTGGGCACCACAGTTCTTGGGGCATGCTTCTGTGACAGGAAGCCAAAGTCGTCTGTATTACACATGCAGTGGGAGAAGTCAGAGACCCTGGACAGAGATAAGGTTTGGGGATAGTGAGGGAAAGACATGAGAAAATCCTTCAAGGAGCTCACAAACCAACAAGTGGGAAAACAGAATAAATTTGATGAGTACAGCCCCTCCTCCCCCCCTCACCCCCCACTCTCCCTTTCGAGAAACTTGATAGACAGGCAAGTGGTTGTTTTTTTTTTTTTTTTTCTGTTTTTTTTTTTTTTTTGGTTTTTCGAGACAGGGTTTCTCTTATAGCCTGGGCTGTCCTGGAACTCTGTAAACCAGGCTGGCCTCAAACTCAGGAATCTGCCTGCCTCTGCCTCCCAAGTGCTGGGATTAAAGGCGGGCGCCACCACCGCCTGGCTGTTATTCTTGAAGACGTACATTTGACTGGGCTTTAACTTAGAAGTAGAAGCCCTCAGCGAGGCCAGCTTGAATCTCTTGGCAATCTGTCCCTGGTACTCTGTGGATGTCTTCACTCTCTTGTTCAAAATTTTAGCACATTCTACAGCCTCCTCAGCTTTCTAATGTATGAGTGCTCTATCTGCATATACACCTGTGTGCCAGAAGAGGGCATCGGATCCCATTATAGATGGTTGTGAGCCACCATGTGGTTGCTAGGAATTGAACTCAGGACCTCTGGAAGTGCAGCTAGTGATCTTCTCCACGGAGCCATCTCTCCAGCCCCATATCCTTAGCTTTCTTGATGGGCTGTCTTCTCAGAGCAGTGTGTCCGAATTTGTGTTGCAGGACACACAGAGTAACAGGACAATGAATCTTGGGTGCTTTGGTCCCAGGCTTCTTCCCTTGTTTGTTTAAGGGCTTTCTGGCGACATATTGGTGGGTACCTTCTTCTTAAGAGAAATTGAAAAGCTTTCAGATTCTACTAGCTCTTTTAGGATCTAACAATCAAAGTATAGTAGTATCTGTCAGTCCAGGAACATTCTTGTCTCCTTTTCCCCTTTTTACAATAACTAACGTGACAGCACATCTACAATGCACCCAGAACAGACTTGTGCTTCCTCTCTCCAGTTCTCCTTGGTCTATAACAAGAATGCCCCTTACTTACTCAAATAGCAGGCATGCTCTGCTGCAGGTCAAGGTGCCTTGCCTCATGGGAAAATCTTACTATTCCTACCACTGACTCAGAGCACACATCTCTTCCACTCCCCACCCAGAGCATCAGCAGCAACTTTTGAGGCTATTCCTTCCTCATAGAAAATACAGAGTTTTCATTCATCATAAAACCTCAATGAGTTTTTTGCCGGGGATGAGATCTTCAGTTTCTAGTTCACAGAGCTCATGGCCTGGGAGCATCACACACATAAACAGGAGCTCCAAAACTCTGCCAGCAATACAAGAAAGTCAGGCTTTCCGTCAATGAGCTCCAAAGAATGAATATGTATTCATGAATGGCCGAGTCTACAGATGAGTGAAGTTATAATTATGCCAAGTTGCATCTCATGAAAAGACTTTTTGGCCTACACTAAGTAAAGACCTTGTCTCCTGAAGCCAGCAGCCACTGGAAGTAGTTGTTGGAGGACAGCCTGGTAGCCTCTAAATGGTAGGTTATAAGAACCATGGGAATGATAAACCCTGGATGATGGGCAGCTCCGGACAGATTATCTCTCAGAATCTTTCCATCTCTGAGACCAGATGAGCGAATTGGAAACAAATTTAACACTAGGGGGAGCTGGAGCTATGTGAAGGGAAGGAGGTTGAGGAGGGCTGTTTGCAACAGCCACATGCAAGTAAGTATGAGGAGAGATGACAGAGAGAGTACATAGCTGAAGGCACATTGTGGTCCAGGTTGGAGCCCTCACATCTCTGATATCAGCAACTACAGAGAGTGAGATGGAAAAAAATTGATCTTTCTAGCTTCAGAGCACTGGATCTCTTGCTGTAGCCCCACCAGGATGCCCACGGCAGTGGGAGCTGTTGAACAAGCAGCACCCACAAAACCCTGGAACAGCTAGCCGTGTATCAGCTAAATCAACAAGGCAACTGGAGTACCTTGGAGTAGACTTTGGGTGTGGGTAAACCTGCAGGGTTTCTTGACAATGGCTTGCTGTTCCATCCAGGCAAACATACCTTCTAACAAAGATCAAATCAAGCTGAGCTCTCAAAGGACATCAAGAGAGCTCTCCTGTGAAGGTGGCACTATCCCTCTTTGAGCAAGAGGAAGAAATGCTGGCCACTTAGGCTCAGACTTGCACTGAAACTGTCTTCCCTGGTCCTTCTTTCTGTCCAGTGTCTTGTTCTCCCAGCCATTTTGAGAATCCGAGGGACAAAGTGGAGCCTCTGGCCCCGTGAATTTTGGTGCCACAATTCATCCCTCTCCACTGAGCCCTGGAGTGATACTCTTTTGCTTCCCACAGACATGTCCCATCTCCCTTCCATTCCTGGGATCTCACTGGTCACAGAGGCATCTCTGACACACAGCATCCCAAAGGCAAAATAGCAGCATAAATCTCTTTAGAAATCCTGCACTGTTGTAGGGAGACCAATCCAAGCCCTGCTGTTGATACTGTTTGCCCTTGTGCAAGTGAATGCAGAGCTTCTTAAAGCCTTGGCTGAGCCTTCTGGTAAATGGCACAAATAATACTCAGTAGCCCATGGAAATGACCCATATTTGCCAGGCAATCAACAATAGCAATGTTTCTAACTAGGCTATCTCTCCTTCCCTTTCTCTTCACTTCTGATGGAATCTTGTAGAGTTTCATGTATTCTCCTGATTCCTAGCCTTAGGATGTTTTGTCATGTGCCTCAGAGAATCACTTGGTATCTGGATGGCAGAGACCTGCCTTCACTTAGACCTTCTTTGCTGCATCCTTATCTCAGAGTGAGGTGTTATTTGCCCCCAGGAGTTGTTGCATTTAGCAGTTATTGCACACTGCTAGGTAGGGAGAAAAAAATATTAGAAATCACCATTGCTCTAACCATTAGCCAATGCCTGAAGGCGTTCTACCTTCCTGTATCTTTAGAAAGTCCAGTAAAATGCCAACTGTCAGTCAGTCAGCACCCAAGAGAGCTGCTGGCTGCTCACACTGTACTTTGAAGTGCTTTATTTCAGTGGTGTTAGTTGTTGAGCTTTGACTATATTCAAGCATAGTTTCTCATTTTATGTGACGGACATTACATATTCATTTAGCTAGTACATATTTGTTAGACACCTGTGACTCCAACATGTTCTTTAACATCTGGGTCAGGTGCTCCTCCAGTGAGTGAACAGGTGGTTTGAGGTGACAGGGGAAGAAATAATAATTCAAGTTGAAGCACAAAGAAACCAAGGGTTCCACTCTGCAATCAGGAAGGGTGCTGCAGACACTGGAGCTCTCTGGAGATGTTTTTCAAAACACAAATTCTTGCTGCGTGATGGTGGCTCACATTTTTAATCTTTAATCTCAGTACCAGGGAGGCAGAAGCAGGTGGATCTGTGAGTTCGAGGCTAGCCTGGTGTACAGAGTGAGTTCCAGGGCAGCCTAGGCTACACAGAGAAACCTTGTCTCAAGGGAAAAAAATTGACTATGGCTGTTTTGGAAAGCTGATGAAACACTGAAGAGATTAAACTATAATTCATCTGTGTCTTGCCATCCTGAACCCCTCCTGCCATCCTGACTGACATGTACCATCCTGAACCCTTCATACCATCCTGAATCTCTCATGCCATCCTGACTCTTCTTCACGACCTTGAGCACATGCCTCAGCCTCTGTCTACCTAAGTTCTCTCATCTGTTAGGAGCACAGCAGGGCTTACTGCACCAGGATCACTACAACGTTCCAGTGAGATGAAGCACAGGGACCACAGGTGAGGTGGACACACTATGCAGCTCAAAAAAGTAAAACACTTTGTGTGATGGACATTACATATTCAGCAACCCACAGCTGTCGTCTAGGTTGCAAAGCAGGGATTGGTTAGAAAGCTTAGAAAGTGGAGAGAGCAGGAAACCCCACCACCTCAGAGTGCCTTTTACATTTATGTTGATAGTTCTATTATTTAAGTTTTACATGTGTTTGGTGTACATGTGAATGTGTGCACACGTGCAGGCCATTTCACACATGCAGAGGGCAGAGAATATCTTTTGGTAGTTGGTTCTCTCCTTCAACCATGAGGGTTCAGGAGGCTGAGTTAGGGGTCAGGCTTGGCAGCAAGCACCTTTATCCACCGGGCCATCCTACTAGCGCTGTTTAGAGATCTTAGGGTCTCTGTATTGAGTCATGAGATAGACATCCTGTAATACAGTCACCTTTTTCATTACTGATGTTTGCTTAAATGGCTTCCAGTTTCCAGCATGACAAACCATATATACATTTTAAAAATAATTTTCCATAGTTTAGACTATTTCTGTGGAATGAGTCTGACCTATCGAATTATATGCACGAGCTTGGATCTTTAAATGCATGCTGATATATATCACAGGGTTGCTTTTCAGGAGGGTGGTGCATGTGTTAAGCTTCATTAGAAGACCTGGGGAGAACCGGTCTCCGCCTCTAACTTTGCTACTGTTTTGGTTTTTTGTTACAAAGCAGATTTCCTCTCTCATTTCATCAGCATGATTTTCCCATTAAGAAGCTTCTGTCCATCCATGTTGCTTGTTTATCTGTTGCGTTCCTGTTGTTGGCTTTATAGCCGGTCTAAACCAGCTCTCCTTCGTGCTCCTGTCTTGCCCCTTGTCTCTCTGTGTTGCTAACTAGCAACTTAGCTCACAGTGTGGGAGTTGAGGACCAGTCTCCTCTGGAGCTTGACCAACTGTGTGACCTTCAGCACGCACCCAATCTGCAATGGACGATTTTGTCAGTGTCTGCTTCTAGCGTGTCTGTAGAAGGAAAAGCCACATGCCTGTCCACTCTGTTGGTTGTCACTAGTTTCACTTTTTGTTTTTTTAGGTTTATTTATTTTAGGTGGATGAGTCTGTGCAATGCATGCTTGCACTGCTTGTGGAGGTCAGAAGAGGGTGTCAGATCCCTGGGAACTAAAGTTATAGATGGTTGTGGTCTACCATATAGGTACTGAGAACTGAGCCCTGGTCCTCAGCAAGAGCAGCCAGTGTTCTTAACTGTTGTGCTGGCTCTGGGTTTCAGATCCCTGTTATCTTCATCTCTTAACAGAACGGGTGACTTAGAGTGAGCAGAACACAGACTGAACTCTGGACCATTTTCTCCCTGTCCAGGTGGTGTCTACCATGTTCCTCCTTCTGATTGTCTTTGCCATCTTTGACTCCAGAAACCTGGGGGTCCCCAGAGGCCTGGAACCCGTTGTCATTGGCCTCCTGATCATTGTCATTTCCTGTTCTCTGGGACTCAACTCTGGCTGTGCCATGAATCCAGCTCGAGACCTCAGCCCCAGGCTCTTCACTGCTCTGGCAGGATGGGGATTTGAGGTCTTCACGTAAGTACCAACAGTAGAGAGGAGAGAAAATGATGGACACCGTGCTTCAGCAAAGAGGACTTGGAGATGTAGAAGCATGTGGACCAGAGAGCAGAGGCTATGGACATGTTGGTTAAACATCAACCATCTTTATTATATAACTTGGCTACAGATTGACGTTGTGACCAAGTCAAGTCTAGAACCAACATCTTCTGATGTTGCCAAGGGACTCTCCTTCTTGAGTCCTTCATTCTCTCAGCAGAGTTTTATTTGGCACTAGATATGCCGAGTCACTGTGATAGAGAAGGACATTTCCAAATCAGCCAGCACACTAGGATTTGGGGCAGAAGTTTGGTGTGTTTACAAGGCCAACTGGTCAAAATTAACTGAGCATACTATATAAGATGAGTTGAAAAAAGAGATTAGAAGGATAAAATCCATGCCCAAAGGCATGGCTGCATGTGCCTATAATTCCAGCACTGGGATATCCAGAGAGCTTGCTGGCCTCTGGCCAGCCAGCTTTGTTGAAAGGGAAGCTTCCATTTCAGTGAGAGACCCTTCCTAGGCAAAATAAAGTGGAGAACAATATAGGGAGAGTATCTATATAGGGATACCTTAAATGGGCTCCAGACACACACACACACACACACATATTCATACCCTCACAATTGTGTATATACACACACACACACAGACACACACAGAAACACACACACAGACATACACAGACACACACAGATACACAATACACACACACACACACACACACACACACACACACACACACATTTCTAGCAGTCCTAGGAACATAGGGTAAATATAGCTACCCTGTGCGGTGTGTGTGCAGAGACAGGGCCTTTCAGGTAACCAACATCTGAACATCTCCACTTAGGACTTCTGTTTCTGGCATGATGTGTCCAGTTTGAGATAAAACAGACAGGAAGATTTGTATCTTTGCAAATATCTTAGACTTACTCAGCTGAGGCAGGCGATGCTCCAAAACGAAACTATGGAACAACTAAAAAAGGCTGCTACAGAGATAGCACTCTCACTTCCAGACAAGCCTTCTGGAAAGGTCTCTTAACCCTGAGGCGAAAGCAGCCACCCTTTGCCTGTCTCTCACAACAGGGTGCACCTGGATTTGGAATTTGAGGATGGAGGTGGGGAAGGACCCTGTCAGTAGGCCCAGCAACCTCTTGCACAAAGTAAGAGTGGCATCTGGTGCTGCTGTGCTTTCCTATCCAATCACGCTGGTAACCAAAGACAGGCCCATGTCCTTCCCCATATGCTCCTAGTGAACGAAGGCACTGGAGCTCAGAGACCTAGACTGCCCCGGGGTTGAGATCAGCTCTTCTGGAGACCAGGACTGAGCTCTGGCTTTCTGGTTATGTCTTCTATTGTTACCTCTGATCAAAGTCTGCTGTAAACAAACCAACTATGAAGGCTGTAATCCATCAGTGTTTGAGGGAAGACTGAGCTACATAGTAAGTTCCAGGCCACCCTAGACTTCAGAGTCTCAAACAGATAATATCTGCTCTGAACAAAATGGCCACAAGGGACAGTCTGTGGTTATCAAGCACAGTCATGCAAAGAACAGGCATGGATTCTTCTAAAATCAGCATACTTTCCATTGTGTCAACCAGGAAGGTTTTTGGTTTCTTATGGCTCTGGGGATCAAACCCCATGACTTGTGCCTTCTACACAGGGGCTTTCCCACTGAGATGCTTTCTAAGCCTTTTCCTGTTAGTTCTCATCAGGGTGCCAGAATCTAGACAGAACTTTGGGAAATCCTCAAAGGCACCTGTCTGCACCTCCTGCCTGATTGCACACCCCATCCTATTCTGAATGTTTGTCGCTCTCCTGATCTTTATAAATAGTTTTCCCTCACTATATATACCCTTAAATAATATATTTTGTGTGCTTTGTTTTCCTAAGTGATGGTGGTAGTTGCTCCTGTGGAGTTGCTTAAATAGATTTTTCTTCTTTAAACAAACCTCACCAGGCAGCCACTGTCTCCTGTACCACATCTTTGCCAGAACGTACAGACCCTTGTGGTGGTGGTGGTGGTGGGGTCTGCAGAAAAAGGTGAACTTGGCACTGAGCTGCACAGAGTGAAGCCTTGCAGAGTTACCCGTGAGCTGGGTCACGGAAGCTATGCACTCATTCTAGCAGTATCCAGTAGGTAATTTAGGAGATAATTCACATACCACTGTAGACTTCCTTCATTCACTATTTGGTTGTCGGCATTTACTCAGAGTCCTGGGAATCTGTTCACAGTCTGAGTACTTTTGTTTCATTCATTTCATTTAATTCCCCCAAGCTTCATTATTTCACAGTATAGGAAAGCCAGTTACTGAATTGCCTCTCTAGAGGCCCTCCAAGCTTGGCTATGAATTCATGGAATCACATATATCTTTAATGCATTACATTTTACTGGAGGGGGTATATAGGATGAGTGGGGTGCACACACACACCACTATGCACCTATGTGGAAGTCAAAAGACAATTTGCAAGAGTTGGTCCTCTTCTTCCAACAACATAAGAGTCCTGGGGATGGAACACAGGCCATCAGGCTTGGCAGGAAGCACCTTTACCCACTGAACCATCTCATTTGCCCAAGTACCATGTTCTCTAAAAGGAAAATAAACAGAATGCAATCATCCACAGGTGTCATTAGGACACCAGAATGGGTCCCTGTTATCAGGTATACTGGGAAGTCCAGGACAGCAATGGCCATGCTGCAGTGAGAGGTATAGACACAAGAAAGACCTAGTGAGTAACAGGATGGAGATACAAAGGTGGCCAAGAAATGTCTCACTGGTTCCTTGTTTGCTTTCAGAGTTGGAAATAACTTCTGGTGGATCCCTGTTGTGGGCCCTATGGTTGGCGCTGTCCTGGGAGGCCTCATCTACATTCTTTTTATCCAAATGCATCACTCGAACCCTGACCCAGAAGTGAAGGCAGAACCAGCCGAGAACAATCTAGAGAAACACGAACTCAGTGTCATCATGTAGTGGCATGACCAGGTCTAGAGTTACTGTTTATCTGGTTCTTTCTTCAGACAAGATGACATCTGTGTGCCTGTGCAGACTTGGGGCGGGGGCATCTACCCAGTTTTCTCTAGCCAACTGGGACAAAAAAACTCCAAAGGCATCCGTGAGAAACTCCACCAGTTACCCCTTCCCAGAATAGCACTGACTGTTTATGACGGATATTTGATGGAAGTTCTTCCTCTTAGGTGATTGCTAAGAATTTGGAAACTTGACCATGTGCTCAGCTGGATGGCCTCAGAGACCTTTTACCCTGTATGAAATTATGTCATCAAAGGCTCTGCTTTCACAATCTATAAATACAATATTCTCAAACTGAAAGGCCAAACAGTGGCTGCACTTAACACCTATGAAATGGGGAGCAAGGGGTTAACACTCTACCAAGCTGAGTGCTGTCACTACATAAATAATGATATTCTCCCAACCTAGGGCTATAGAAAGCAGCGCAAGTCATCTGGAAAGAACTCGGTGGCATTTAGAAACCTCAGGACACAAGATAAAGTTGGGAAACTGGATGGCTTTCTTTTTAATGGAAACCATTTGTTAGACTAATCCTGTGCTCCTCTGCATTTTAGATGACATCAATTAATTTCCAGGTCTTTCAGTATATAATAACCTAAAATATGATTGTAACCTTGGTCGGGAAAAATACATTGCTCTGTCTTTTAGCACAAATGTGTTTTCCTAATGGCTCACTCGAGGAGAGACTTTTTAATAGTCTGTGGCTACAGTCATCCATGTCCCCAGGAGCCCAAACTAGAAGCTAGTGGAGCCCAGCCTGGTCCCACTAAAGTTGGAGGTAGACAGAGTTCCTGGGACAAAAGGGTGAACTCAAGCTTTATGACTCCCAGAACACTTCCACACGTTATCCAATTTGATCCCAACAGCAATTGTCTGAAGTAAATGACCACAGCATTCTTTTCAAATGAAAATCTCATGTGAATTGAATCCAGTAAGTTGCCCTTTCTTCTGCAGGGCACTTTGAACGGTGCCTGATGCCTTCTAGAAGCTTGCGGGCTGACTGAGGGTATTTGACAACCCACTGGGCCTTTGGGTGTGTGATTTCCATATGCAATGTTGTCTGTTTCTATTCCATTTTACTGAGGCACAGATAAAGGTCAAAGGTACCCGTTTGTTAATTTTCATTTGTGGAGAAGCAGAGGCCTTTCTTCCTTAGCCATTCTCAGTCTCCTTCCCTGCCAGCCCTCCTCAGGCTCTCCTGGAGACATTTTTTAACTGATGTTACTTCCAACCAAGGCAAGAATTGTTCTGTATCAGGGGTGTACCTTCACGACAACTGTTTAAAAGCCCAGCATTCCTAGATACAGCAAGTTTTCCCAGGTGCTTTGCAAGACCAGCAAAAAGAAATGAATGAGAAATATCTCCGATATCCTGTGCTGTGCAAGCTGTGGACATAGAGATTCATTTTCTGAATCTGAAATTACCTGGATATTTTCTAGTTTAAATAAATTTGGGGGGATATTATTGTGTTTAAGGATTTTTTTTCCCCATTTGATGGCTACCAAAACATAATTACCTCAGAGTTTGTCGGTACTGTCTAGGAACTGAATATCCCATGGGAATTTTAGAAACTATTTACGCCCACTTAGTCCATTGTGAGTTGCTCAGGTGACCCCAGCATGCATTAAGGACTGGAAACATAGACTGGATTGAACCTGATGAACCTAAGTTTTCCTTGAAAGCTGTATATAGTTGTCACGATGGGCTTGTTGGTGTTCTCCTGCTGTACTACAGAATGGTTCTCATTAGTGGCAATTTTTGTTTCCTCTCCCCTTACTCAAACATCTGGGAACACCTAGAGATGTTGATAGTTTTCACAACTAGAAATGGGGAAGAGTGCTAATGGGTAGAGATGCTGTCATAGCAAGGCAGTATTGAACCCATTTCAGTTATGCCCAGGCTGAGAGGCCTTGAGGTTTTTGGGAAGGTGAGGAGAGAGAATCAAGAGACTTGAGTCCCTGTGCTCTGGAATCAAGTTCTGTAAGGAACAGAGATGTCAAACAAGCCAGAATGGACTTGGGGTGGGATTTAACTCTCAGAGCAGAAGGTAATTTAAAATTAGTTGTTAGGGTAGATTGTGGAAACATGACCCGTGCAGGTGCTGATTAGATACCACCGGATGATTGATGACTAAGACTATGAAGAAGTGTACAGTGTTGGAACTCTGCCCCCGGGAAGGATATCTTGATGGATAAAGCCCTGTTGTTCTACTCTCAGGTCCACTCCTGTTTCAGGTCTACAGTAAGCAGCTTGACCTCTGTAGGGTTCTTTACCAAGAGAATGTCTATGAAGCTGTATGGTCTAGATCAGAAGTCAGGAGCAGAGCCCTAGGAGCATTTAATGTCAAAAATGGAATTTTTCTGTGGTTTCCCCAACCAATGAAGTCTCAGAGCTCAGTTCTACCCAGGAAATACCCCAGCCAATATTTAGTTGTTAGATGTCATTTGTTGTCTGCCAAGAGGGTAAAGTGGCGCCCCGATGAATAGGTTCCATAGGGCTGGGGTCCAGGCAGGAGTGCTGGAAATGTTACAGCTCTCAAAAGAGAAGTGAGGAGGTTTGAACAGTCTGTGCAGGGCAGGTAGCAGCAGCGTGACCCTGGCCAGCCAGGCGGGTCCAAGGGCCAGCGATGAATGCTCAGGGAGACAGGACTCTTCCCCAACTGTTACCGCCACTCTCAGACGATCCTTGGTGAGATCACTTGTATGTCCCTATTTCACATTGAGGAGTGGGCTGTGATTTAGGGGTAGGTGTTTCCCATTGGCTCAGTCTGAGATGTGAGTGATGCTCTGTTTGCATGGGGAAGGACTACAGTTGTTCTCCCTACTTGACTGACTACCATGCTCCTCTCAGTGGGATGACATGGTTACCGTGGTCCAGAAATGAATAGGGAGTGGCTCGACTCCTGCCAATCTCAAGTCTCTGAGATTTTCTGAGTCTGAACTCACTCAGCCTTACAGTTCTTCTGTCTGGTGGCACGGCCCACTTGCCCCACAGTTGGACAGGATAAGTAGGGCTAAAACATTTTTTTAATTTAATCCTTAAGACATAAATTATAATTTAAGTTGCGCACACACATCTTGTTATAGCACACACATCTGGTGATATTATCATGGGAAAAGAATTATAATTTCTGATTACAGAGAATGATTTATAGGTTTTATTTAGCCATAAAAACAAATATTCAAAACAATCTTGTATGGCATCCAAAAATGAGGTGAGGCTGCTATGAATACAAAGGGGAAGAAGGAGTTAAGGAGCTTTTGCCCCAAGGAAAGCTCTACAGGTAAGAGGGGGCCATCTTCTGAACACCGTGTCATTGTTGATACGGACTATTGACTTGGTTTGTGTTACCTATAACAACTTAATGAAAGTTTCAAGAACAGAAACTGGCTGCATTAATTCAAACTCGGGTCACTTTTCACAGAAAAAAATGAATTTGGGCAAACAGAATTGACCACCCCACCCCCACCCCAAGAAGCACCACAACAAAACGTTGTATGTTAATTCTCAAACTGGGAATTTAAATTCTCCGAGGTAATGGGTTTACTAATTACAGACCATGTACATAAATCATGATAATCCTAATGAGAATTACTGTGTGGACCCTCTATGTCTGCATAAAAATAAAAGATAGCTGGTGACAGGTTATTGCAGGTAGGCAAACAACCAAAGTAACCCCTTGGTTCATGATTGGAGTAGCTCTTACATAAGATGTCTCTTCTGTGATAGAGGGCTCATGCCTAGTGAGTGCAAATAAAATGTAGGTATTAAGAGATTCCACCAAACCATGAGTGGATGAAGAATCTGGTTCCCTCAAGGGCTACATTTTTTTTTTGCTAGGCAGCAGCCACAAAAAAAGAAAAAAAAATCAAAGTAAGTGTTTGAAGATTGGAGGTGACAACATGGTGTATTCTTTACATACAATTTTAGGGAAGGTTAAAACATTTTGCTGTATCCTAAGAAAACTTCATGGGAGAGGTGGGGAGGTCCTGGTGAGGTGGCTCAGTGGTTAAGAGTGCCTGCTGTTCTTGTTTCTGTCATGTCAAACAGCTCATAACTGCCATTAACTCTACCTTCTGAGGGACTTAGTGTCCTCTCCTGGCCCCTACAGGCCTCTGCATGAATACATACAACACACACACACACACACACACACACACCTAAAAGAGTCATGAGTGCTAGGCATTGAGCTTGGTGAAGACTGAGGTAGTGGTGTGGCCTCTTGCTTCCTCCCCAGTTGAGCACCCTCAGACATTCCTAGCCTGGTCACACTGCAATCCCTCTTGACACTCAGCACCATGCTTGCCGGGAGTGGGTAGGGGTGGTCTTGGATTTCTGCAGGTTGAGAAGGACACTTTAGAGTCCAGGTCCTCAGCCATGGTGGTACGCTCATGGCATGGCCTCTCACCAGAGCAAAGACAGCAGCAAAGTCCTAACACCATTACCTCGGGGAGCCTGTGATGTGTTTGTATCAGTCTCTTTGGGTTTCTGTGATGAAATTCCTGACAAAAGCAATTTAAGAGTGCACTTTTGTTCATGATCTGAGGGTTATAGTCCATGACAGTGACGGAGGCATAGCTGTTGGAGTGTGAGTTAACTGGTCACATTGCCTCCACCGTCAGGAAGCAGAAAATGATGAATGTTTATGCTCACCTTGCTCCCACCAGTCTGAGCCTCGTCCTCATGGAAAGATGCCACTCCCATTGAGGGTGGGTCTTCCTACGGCAGCCTAATCTGAAAACCACCTCACAGCTGTGTCTAGGGATTTGTCTCCTAGATAATTCTAGGCCCAGCCAAGTTGACATCATACTTGTGTGGTGTGCGTGCGTGCGTGCGTGCGTGCGTGCGTGCGTGCGTGTGTGTGTGTGTGTGTGTGTGTGTGTATAGTGTGTAGCACATAGCATGGTGTGTGTGTTTATATGCATGTGGTACATGTGATATGTGATGTGTGTATGTGATGTGTGTGGTATGTGCATATGAGTGTGGTGTGTGTGTGTGTGTGTATGTGTGTTGTGCATGTGTGTGGTGCATGTGTGTGTGTGTGTATGTAGTGTGTGTGTGTGTGTGGTATGTGTTTGTGTATGTGGTGTGTGTATGGTATGTGTGTATGTGATGTGTATGGCGTGTGTGTATGTGGTGCGTATGTGTGTGTATACGGTGTGTGTGTATGTGTCTGTTTGTACATATGTGCCAGCGCTCACGGAGGCCAAAAGATGGTGTCAGACACTGGAGCTGGAGCTACGGCAGCTGAGCCCCTGCTGTAGAAGAGCTGTGCTCTTATCTGGTGACCTCCTTCTCCAGCTCCAGTAGCATCTTCAATAATGATTGTTATAGCAGGAAATCCATATTTCATAAAAGGCTTAAACTTTAAAAGCTGAAGCACGCCCTGAATCTTTCCCTTTGTGAAACACTGTAGCTTATTATGGTGAAAACCTAGAAACTTCCAAGTCACCACAGCTTGTTGCAGGAGAAGCTATTTCATAGTCACTTATATATTTATTCTCAGGACTTGAGATCTTTGCAAACAAAGCCAGTGCAAAAGCAGCACCCCTCTTCCAGTCCAAAAGCTTGGTGTAAAGGAAAGCAAGGACTTTACTAACCCTCAGTTGGCTGAAGGCTGGTGATGTTCTGAGAATGAGATTCTGATTTACAAACAATATCGTCACAGCCAGAAATCAGTTCTGTGGATCCGGAGTGCATAGGACCATACCTTATCCTCCCTGTAACCTGGAAATGAGTGATCTTCTGATAAGACCACAAGGATCTCTCAAGTGCTCACATCCGGAGACTGTAGAGACTGGTGCTTAAGAGGTCAGGCATTCGAGGCTGTCTCTGTGGCCTTACTATGCAAGCCTCTGTCTAAACCCTCTTTATCCACTAAATGTGATGACCTATAGGATGTTGAAAATAGCATGGAACCCTTAAACACTCCATCTTAGTGCCTCCTAATTCTATTATTTCACATTTCCACACTCAGCTCATTCTTCTGACAGGTAAGAATTCGAAGCCCCACCCCACACCCCACCCCGTATCGCCAAGAGTGTATGTTTGCTTACATACTCCACCCGGCTTACATAGCTGGATGAGGTTTAACAACTGCTCAGGACTTCACTTAGTTCATTACAGAGCTCAGTACTGATAAGAAATTTACCCAGTGCTGGCTTACCTAACTATTTAAACACTAAAAATTGGTTTAAATTGTAAAAATTACTTACAGAGGTAATGTAATACCAGCAAAATATTCAGCAGTTTAAACAAATGTTAAAGGCTGATGGCTGTGTATGCATACAGTAGCAGGCAGGCCTGATGTCAGACACTGCAGAGACTAAAACAGGAGAATCATGAGGCCGAGGTCAGCCTGGGCTGCAGAGTGAGACTGTATCTCAAGATGCTACTCTCTGAAAGACTTGAAAAGAGAGGAACAAAGTTGGAGAATTTTCACAGTCTAATTTAATTTTCAGATGTTCC